TAATGCCCCTTCAGTTTTGGAGCAAGTAGGGAACAAAATGTCTAACATGCGAAAAAGAATCTCAAACTGGTTGATAACTCAAAAACTTTGTAAAGATTTTTACAAATTGCAATTAAGCTGAAGATGATATTAGTCTAATATAAGCCACTTACATGTTATTTATTGAGAAATTGATAATGAGAGCATCATACAATGATTTTGGAAAAGAGCAATGGGTGATATGAATGAATAGAGTTTGAACTAGATCGAATTGAAATAAATTGATCTCTAGATGGTATTTTTATGATTCAGTTGAGTTTCATTTGTGTGTGAAAGTATTAATGTGTTCTATCACACATTCAGTGATTCACATCTCTAAAAAAAAATGAGCACTATATATGCCCAAATGTTCCCTTCCATTGATTCACATCTCTCTAAATTATAGATGAAAATCGTTAGGATATTAATTCAATATTTTCAAAGAGTTGTGAGAGAGACGATACTAGAGAATTTTAGAAATTGGTAAAAATGTGCAATTTTTTTTAGAGAAGTATAGAAGTTTCTAGAATATTTTAGAGGTTTCAGAAAAAGTATGCAGTTTTTTTAAAAGTATCTGAAAAAATATAGAGTCCTCTAGAATATTGTAAAACTGTCTTGGGCACTCTAGATTTTCTCCAAATCATGACATTCCATCTCAATCCCACCACTCTTTCCATTCCATGTGCAAGTCATGGCTCGCCTTATTTTTATTTCTTAATTTTTTTAAAAAAAAAACAATAATCATTTTTTATTACACAAGTAGACATATTTTAATTATAAAATATGTGAATTTATTTTTAATAATTGAAATACATCAAAAAATATGTAGAAAATGACAAATACAATGGCTTGTCACTACATGACACTTTCTCCACTCGCATGTCATACGTTGAGTGGACTCTTTTTGATTGATTAGAATGTTTCATATCATCGTGTGTAGGCCTGTCAATGGTCGGGTATAGACCCAAACCCGTATAATACCTATAATTTTTTAGCGAGTTTAGGAATATAAAAATATCGCTTACCCGAACCTGTTATTTTGAAATAAATAAAAGATTCGGTATAGGATAAATAGTCCCGACCTGTTTAAAACTCGCACCGGTTAAATAAATAAGTAGTATTAAATATTATAAAACCCTACCCCCTTTTTCGCTACTCCCCTTCTTCGCTGACTGTGTGGTTTCCAAATCCATTTGTGTTTATTTCACCACAATAAAAACATGTCACATGTACACGTTAGTTTATGTAGTAGTATGAAATGAATAGTTTGAAATTATCTTTAATGTTATAGAAAATATTATTGCAGCATGAATGAATGTGACAAGAAAACTAATTATGAATCTAAGATTTTTGTTAGAGATTTTGATAAAGAAGACTCATTATTGTTGTAGTAACGTATTGATCTTATTCTTATTTGTATTCTATTAAGATGTTTTTTCATTCATAGTATTTTGACTATTTTTTCAACTATAGAAAAATAAAATACGCCAACTTTTATCACACACATATCTGACCCGATACCAAGACGACCTAATGGGTTTAAATCTAGGATTAAACCTCAAGATCGATCGAGCAAAAGGGTACATGTCAAGATCAAATTTTTTAAAGGGTACACACATGGAACACTATGAACCGGATAGAACACGACCTATAAACAGGCCTATTTTTGCCTCACAATTCTTGATGCTCTTAGGGCATTTAAAACGGTGTCGGGTTGTGTCTGGCGCTCCAAATTTGAGGTGGTGCGGTGGGGCACGCCCATTGCTGACACGGAGCCGCGAAACTCGGCGCGGTGCACGCCCCACTTCTAGCGTAGAATCGAGCTTCGTTTCTAGCGCAAAAGTGCGACGGTCGTCCATTGTGATGGTCCGGCGCGCCTGCTCCCTCCCTTTTTAAATTTTGAACTGAATAGATTCAATACATATCCAACTTTATTTCATTACTCTCAATTCATTGTCATCCCTCTCAATTCATAACTTTCTTGGTCCTAGATTGTTCAACACCTGCGGCACAAACCCATTTTTTACATATGGGTCCTAGTATAATAGGCGACCGAACGGCCGCCCCCTAATTACTAGACCAACTTGCTATAATAATTCAATAAACACCTAACAAAGATATGGCAAAAAATAAAGTAGTCATATGTTCGGATCTGACAATACCATACCATAATCAAAAGGTACAACGACTTGAGCGACCAAGCATTACATAAATGTAGCCACTGGAGCCATTCTAAAAAGGGAAAAATTAACACTACTTGGTGAAATAGGTTCTTTTAGAATCAATTTCAAACCATCTGCTATAGGTTGTAACATTAATCCAAATGATCCCACTACATCAGGACCCTTTCAACCTTCTACACAAGCCATTACTTTAAGCTCCGCTAGCACTAAAAAGGCTAATCCTAGTACAAGTGGTAGAATTATTCCAAACATTTCAGTTGGAACAGCTATGTACATTTTTTATTTTGTATTCACATGATCGGATCTAGTCGACCCAATCATGATATTTAAGGAGGGGACTTTTTCTCAAAAAAAAAAATTCTTGCAACTGCGAAAACCACGACACAAGCACCCTTTTCCTTTCATATAGAGATCCAATTGTCAAAATCAATAAAAAGAACAAACGATGCAAATACAATAGGTTCGGATCACATTTGACACCTAAGGTCCTTCCGAAGGTACGAAGTAACTAGGAGAACAGTTTAGTTCTGAATCATTATATAGAGGAGCATGCTAAAAACTCAATGCCCACAGGGGCACGAACTACAATATATTTATGGGAGATGCTAGGAGTACACCTAAAGTGTACCCCAAATATATATCACTTACATCTTTGCCATTCATTTTTATTTAGTTTTTATTTGGAAATTTTGAATCTTACATGCAAATTTTTATGGTTGCGGAGGGGGTGTGGGTATTTGAGATACACCAAAGGTGTACCCCTACATTTATATATACACGATAATCAACTGAGGCATGCTAGGAATACACTAAAATGAGGTACTCCATTAGTATACAAGAATACCAGACAAACACAGACACTTATTATCTTTATATCACAGATACTAGCTACTCCCTCCGTCCCTGAGTGTTTGTCCACTTTCATTTTTGCACACCATCCAATGAACTTCTTTAATCCATTTTATCTTGTAATTTGTATATTAAAAAATTATAAAAATTATATATTAATAGTCTATATGTTAAGACGAATCAAACAAGATCACACATAACTATATTTAGGCTTACACATTGAGAGAATTTGATAAGTCAAAGTGCTTAGATGAACAATTCCAAAAGTCAAAAATAGACAAACACTCAGGGACGGACCAAGTATTAATGTTTGTCTCTATTTGTCTGATATACCCATTTTCGTATATCCCTGGGTTTATTCTAAGAAAAATGCTATGGGTACACCAAATGTGTACCCCATTTGTCCCCCACCCCCTCCTTGTCCACAAAAAAAAGGGAGAAAGACCAAAGTAGGACTAAAACATTGAAGATATACCAAAATAGGACTTCCATGTTTTTATTCTCGAAATAGGACTTACATTACCATACATGATCATATACATTACCAAAAACGTATAGTAATTTGCACATGTACACTGCCACATTACCACATGGCAAAGTCACATTACCACAGTGCAAAGTCCTATTTCGGAAAAAAAAACATGAAAGTCCTATTTTGGTACTTTTATCTATGTTTTAGTCCTATTTAGGGTGATTTATACAAAAAAAGACAAGAAATTTAAAAAAAATGAATAAATAAAAATAAAATAAAAATGGGTGGTGGAGAAGGGGGTGGTGTACATCTGGGGTACACCAACGTACCCCCTAGCATTGCCCTTACTAGACTCGTACCCGTGCGTTGCACGGTCTAATTATAAACTAAATAATCAGGAAAAGTATTGATAAAAGAAAACGATAAAATTAAATTAACATAATAATATATAATCATATATTAAAATAAAGGAAATGAACAATAATACACAATGTGGATCCATTACATTATAAGCTTTCAAAATCTTTTTTACAAACTACATTGAATGTTTGAATTTTGTGATACATGTGGTTTCATTTCTATGGTCCTTTATATATTGGATGTGAAGATATCAGTTAAGTTTTTTGTTTCACACTTCATATTTATGGATCTTTCACTCTCTTTATCCTTTTATATTTTCTATTTTCTATTTTAAGTATTGGTAGTATTCATCCATGTGAGGGAGTGCCAATTTGGTATATGGAGTATATATAATACTTCCTCCGTCCACAAATAAACTTTACGATCACTATTCACAGGGTCAAACTTTATTCACTTTGTTGGCCTATTTCGTCACCCATTTGATAAAATAATATGGTCATGTCACATCTAGTTTTGTAGATCTTTTGATATAGTTTTTTAATATGTAATTTTTATTTTTTAATTCTACACCATTTTTCATATAAAATTATTTGAAAATAACTTCAGTCAAACATCATAACACGTAATATAAAGTTTAATTTTGGACGGAGGGAGTAATTAGACAAAGAATCTATAAACTTATTCATTAAATGTATGGATTTGATAAATTTATTTATTTAATTGGATTTGACATAAAGCCACCATTGAGCAACGTAATATCTTTTACTTTATTGAATAAGTAGCTATACATTTCCCTTGAGCAACACACAAAGTATCCCTTGAGCAATGCACCAACTTTTTCCTTGAGCAACACACCAAATTTTTCTTGAGCAATGCACCAAAAGGTTATAATGGCACGCATTTCAAAAGATTTGAAAATATACCTTCATAGTTGGCACGCTTAAATATGTGTTGCAGTAGTAAATACTCCAGCAAAAGAAGATTTGTAGAATCTAGTAAATAAATGTTGATAGGACATAAAAGACTACTTGTATGGTTGGAAAAGAAGATTTGGTAAATCCTTCAAGTAAAGCTAATTTCAAATAAATGAAAGTACTTTTAGAAATACAAAGTATTACCCAAGCAATATTAGCATGGATAAAAATTCTGGAGAAAATCTAATAATACTCTAAAAGAGACTATTCCAACTTCAATAATATGCTCTATCAAATTCTAGGTACCGAACAAAAACCTCACCATCAACCTACTATATGATTTGTTCAACCCACATCACTAAGAAGTAAACATTTTAAAAAGAATCATTAAGAAGAAAAAATTGAAACAGAGTATTAACAAAGACGCTAGAAGAATGCCGCTTGCTAGCTTCCAAAGTAAGAGCTCAATCCATTTGCAACCTGCATTCATCAAAGTACATAGATCAGATAAAGCAATTTGGCATTGAGGAAAATAAGATCACGCTGCAAGTTGAGACTTGAGGCCCTTTAGGAATCTAAAGGACGATCAGACACATTTAAAGCGAATTACCATGAGGAATATTGCTTATTTTTTTTACATATATACCCACTAATAAAAATCAAATTATTGTGAAAAGAAAACCAAGAAAAACGGAAAAATATCATCAATAAGTAATCCCAAGTAAGATAACAAAATAATCATAAAGTGAGAAGAAAGCTTCTGGGATCTTACCAGCAATATGAGGTCCCAAAATGTGTTGATACTTTTTTTATTCAAGAGAAAACTTGAATAGCCACACAAAGCTTTTATGATCACATAATTGAAAACCAAGTTTTCATTGTGATAATTTTCTCCATATATGCTTCAGTACACAATTAACATCGAAAGCCTAATATATACTCACTATCAGGCCCAATATGTAATTTAGAAAATATTTTGTTTTCAAAAAGAAATAATAAAAAATCACCAAAAATACATTATTCTGACATTTGATTGACCACATCTTGTGTTAGTATGTATGTGGTTGACTTTCACAACCTAGAGAGAGTATTATTTTATCAAATGAATACCGAAATCATTTTTTTACACATTATTTTGCACATTAAAATCATTTTTTACAAATGTAAACTTAGATGACACAATAATTAGTTGTTGAGAGCATAGGAGCAAAATTTACTGAATGATAAGCAGCACATGAACAATAATGTGCTAAAGGGAGTAGTGTATCAAAACATTACATTGCATCATATAGCCTTTTCATCCTGAAATATTATGCAAGGAGCACATCAGCCACTCAAAGATTTGTAATGCATCTAATATATAAAAAGATTATATACACATGGAATGCTTGTGATTATGCATAGTTAATTCATCACTCTTTTAATAAAAACCCAACATTTTTATCAATTAAGATTCAACATTATAGCAGTACTTACTTAAAGACAAATAATGTATGGAAAACCGTAACAGCTAAGAACCCATAAACTACAACAATCTAGTACCCATTAAAAACTAAATACTAAAACCTCACAAAAAAATAAACTAATATTGTAATTTTCTTACCTTGATTACAGTGGATTATCCTCACAAAAGCCCTGCCATTATTGCCTTTTCCAAGGCCCCATGCCTTCTAGATGGAAAGCCAAAGCTCCACATCAAGGTTTTCTATTTTCAAGCAGTGTCTGAAATGACAAAAAGTGCTAATGGTGTAATATATGAACAATTTTGATGGTGCAATAAATATTAGTCTTATTTATTTGGTGGGACGGAACAGGAAGAAGAACTCATAATAAATAAAGGAAAAGATGATATAGAATAAAAATATGTCTAATTTAGAAATAAAAAAATGAATTAACCTTCAAATTCCATTAAAAAAAATTTACAACACATGGCTTAACAAATATCAAAAATTAAATGGGGCATTGTATTGGACCTGTGATAGGATACCCAACAAAGCATCCATCAATTTATTCCTCATTTTAGTTGTATTATTCTCCAAAATCTGAATGAGCAAGAACATATTATATTAAAATTAAATCCTAACTTCTAGAAGTAACTGACTTCCTAACTATGTGAGAAGCCCACATATTAAAAAAAAGAATTAAGAAGAAAAATCTATTTGGTCATGGATTTTAACCTTTTTAAGACAATCAATCTTAGTCCTGCAATCTTGTGAAGAGAATCACAACTTACTGTTTGGCCATCTGTTTTAACCTTTTCTTCGTATCAGTCTCAGTTGCCCCCTGTCCTCATCATGGTCGCCTTCTCCATCGCCAAATCTAGAGTTTTAAATTTTGGAAACTCTAAGTACCAAAAATCTTATTACCGTGCTCTAAATATAAATAATTTGAAAAAGAAAGAAGACATAGGTGTTATCTCGTCGTATGCAGTTGTTGATGGAATTAAATCGTCGTCCATGGACGGAGTTAGGCTTTCATCATTCCTCGCTTTCTTGGGAAACACCTGCAAAGAAAGTAGAAAAAGATTTTTAGTAAAATGAAGCTGTGATATCCTTAAAAGCTAAAATATTTTACTTTATTTCTATTCGGAAAGTACTTGCATTTTACATGGTTTGCTCCATAATCATTCTACTCTTGAGCTTTCTCCTAAGAGGTTTGTCCTTGTACATTCATTCAAATTTTTATACTCCAATGTGACAAACATTGTTGAAGATAATTCAACAATGACCCCACACCCAATGCAAAAAGAGTGCTCAAATTAACCATTTCAAGAAAAGAAAAAAAATAGAGAGAGGTAAAATAGCTTGAACATCCTCCATTGCTTGATAGCAGATTCTGGAAAATCTAAAAAAGTATGCCTAAAATATGAAAATCTTAATCTACCAACAAAAGAAATTGAAAGAAAAGGCTAAGATGAACACTTGCATCGAAAATAAATCTCTATATCTTTGTTCCAAATCCTAGCACAGAATCAACAATTTGCCCCTATGTTCCCGATCCTTTTTTGCGGGGAGAACTACTGGACCAAAGGTTATATTTTTGCATAGAAGATGAATCTCAGTATTTTTGTTTTTTTGGATGGAAAATCAAAATAAAATATTAATTGAAGCTGAGTACATCCCTGGCCCGCCACCGCCTTTGTCCTAGCAAAATCCAATGGTTTCAGACGTGGTTACTTTCGAAACCCTAGTCCCAAACATGGTTTCCAGCGAGCGTGAGCAGAGAGGGTGCGGAGGAGGAAGGAAGACGAAGACTATCAGGAAAATGAAAGCAGGGATCTGAAATTTCTAGGTCTCCATTTTGTCTCCAACCTTGTTCCAATCTGGGGCCCAAAAATCAGGATCTGAAATTTTATACCTAATATATGAAAATCTCAATCTAGCTACAAAAGAAATTGGTAAGAAAATGAAGAAATTGTAAAAGCATCTCGGTGGGAACCTCAAAATTAGAAAGAAAAAAAATTCCAATCAGCGGCTATGCTACTTACCCGCGGCGGTGCTCTCTCTCTCTTTCGCCGTCTCTCTCTCTCTCGCTACGGCGAAGTGCCGATTGGAATAGGAAGGCGAAGTGCTGAGCGGAAGCCTTCTTCTTATTCGTCTCTCTCTCTACGGCGAAGGGCTGATTGGAATTGGACGGCAGAAGCTTCCTTTTTATTCGTTCTTATCCGAATGTGCGGTCCATATCCAGCGGCTACTGTAGGTATAAAATGGGCAGGAATACTGTTCATAAACTCATCTTACCATTGTATATAGTAAGATGGTATAAATATGATTTGCCTCCTATTTATAGCGTAGCGGCACTACGATCATGGGAGATTGCGCTCTCCTTTTACTTGGTGACCTATCCTGTCTTCACGGGCTGGGCTAGGCCCATTGTCAAGGTCCACATTACATTTAACTATAGTTGTGATTTGCATTTTAATGTATATCCCTCAAAAATAATTTTAAGTAAAAAGATATTTTGTCATCCTTACAACATTTCCTAGACTCAAAATAAATAAGTCTTTGGAAAACTTCTCTTCACTTCAAAATCCTACGTAGGGATTTGAATACCGAAATATTGTCGTAATTTTCTTGATGTGTCTCTTTTGCTTTCTTGAACCGAAAAAAATTTTCGTTCTGCATTGCGTTTGTCATTTATCAAAACTTGAAAAAATTAATTCCTAGAAATATCTAAAGGGGTTTAAACTCATGTCCAACAATTTCTTCCTTTTTGATAATGACAAACTTAGTTGAGATAAAAGCAACAAGATTTCAAGAAATACTACCTTTTGGTTTGAATAGTTCCCCCTACAAGTTTAGAAGTGAACACAAATAATATACGGAGTGATAGCAGAAAACGTTTTTGAAAAGAATTTCTCAACTATCCTTCCTTCTCCCTTTTGACATTATCAAAAGGTTCCTTCCCCCTTAAGCTAAGCTCGGGTAGTGAAGGATATACTACAAAAAATATGACTTTTTGTGGCTAAATTTTAGTAGCAAAGTTAATATTTGCCACAATATATAAATAATCTATAAATATTTGTGGCAATTTGAAATTTGCCACAAAATAGTATACTTATTCTAGCAATTTTATAAATATGCCACTATATCTAAATTAGTGTGGAGGGAAAATATTAAGGGAATTAATTTAAACAAATAAGGAAGTATTTAGAGCATCTCCAATGAAACTTTCAAATGCTAAAAAATAGACATTAAAAATCATATGTAGCATTTTTCTTGCTCCAACGGAGCTTTCAGAAAATAGAATGCCTTCTATAATTGGTGTTTGAGCTTTTATAAATGAAAGGTTCTGGTAGATCTTCTATATTCCCTTTTCAGCATTTTTAGTTCCCCAATCCTATATCTTCAACTGTGTTTGCTCTTTCATGAGACTCCATTCCTTCCATCTTCATGTATTCCTACTTTTATGTTTCTGCTCTTCATTGGAAAAAAGAGATCCCATCTCAATCAAAGCGAGATCCAATCTTCAATTTAATTAGCAGCTTCAGAAGACGGCGATGATTCAAGCAGTGACATCGGTTGTTTTAGTCAGGCAAAACAGAGCAGAGCAGCGGTGATTCTTTTCCCCTGACGGTCTTCAATTAGCGGATTCAGAAAATGAATATAATTTAAAAATATTAATTTATTATAAAAAGTTAAAATATACTCCCTCCGTTTCAGAAAACCCTTCTTCTTTCGTTTTTTTCGTTTTTCTTAAAACACTTCCTCTTTCACTTTTTTTTCCAAAACTACCCCTAAACCTAATTTTACCCAATCCCCTATCCCACCTTATCCAACCCATTCGTTCCCCTGGCGATTCATCTCCTCTCCTCACCTTTCCTTTTTCAAAAACCGGATCAGCTTCATGTCTGCTTCCTCTTCTCCAGATCCGACCATGCCCTCATTTCGCTTGCTCTCTGATAGCGATGAGGACCAACCTAAGCCTCATCGTACTCAGAAATCTTTGAGCAAGCGCAAACGATCCATAGCTGCCTTGAAACGTCATGTTGATCCGCTTCCATCAAGTTCATCTGACACTGATCCTTCGTGGAATTTCCGGAAAAAATACCTAGGGGGTGAGCATCTCCCTGATGGAATTGAGTGGGGATCAGATCTGGAAGAAGATTCATCAGATCTTGAGTCTTCATTCAACACTGATGATATTCGAGAAATGAGCTCGGAAACAGAGGTGTTGTTGTCCGAGCTAGTCGGAAGTCCCTCTAAAATTGAAAGATATAAACAGAGTAATGTCCTTTAATCTTCTCTCCTTTACACTTTGCGCATCTGTCTGCATGTTATTTTTGGGCAAACTAATGATGCAAAAATAATTAATCTTAACGTTAATGAAAGTTGCCTAATTGTAACGCCACCCCATTTTTGGTTTGGAGGCTTACAAAGGTCAATTATGGCTAGATGTTTGGTCAGGCATTAGTGAATGTGTATGTGGAATTTCTTCTGCGTGGTGAAGATTATGTTTCCCTCTTTTGTTATGGTTGCCGTGTGAAATGCAAAGCCAGAATGACCTGTGTGGTTTCCTATGTGGTTCTCTAAGGCAGTTTATCCCTAAATGACCTGTGTGCCTTTCTTTGCTGCCTATGATGGATTAGAAATGTGTTCTACCCTATGTGTTCCTTGTGGCAGTTTGTCCCTAAGCTTTCATGTCCCTCTCTTTACTGCCTATGATGGATTTTGAATCTGTGATTTCCTATGTGGTTCTCTAAGGCTGTTTGTCCCTAAATGACCTATGTGCCTTTCTTTGCTGCCTATGATGGATTAGAAATGTGTTCTACCCTATGTCTTCCCTGAGGCAGTTTGTCCTTAAGCTTTCATGTCCCTATGATGGCTTCTGAATGTGTGGTACCCTATGTGATCTCTGAGGCTGTTTGTCCCTAAATGACCTGTGTGCCTTTCTTTGCTGCCTATGATGGATTAGAAATGTGTTCTACCCTATGTGTTCCCTGAGGCAGTTTGTCCCTAAGCTTTCATGTCCCTATGATGGCTTTCATGTCCCTCTCTTTACTGCCTAACATGGCTTTTGAATGTGTGGTGTTATATCTAAGGCATTGTGGTCTCTCTTTACTGCCTATGATGAAATCAGAATGCTTGGTACCCTCTGTGATCTCTGAGGCAGTTTGTCCCATTGGTTTGAGGTCCCTTTCTAATGCAGTATGTCCCTAACCAGTTCTGTGAATATACTGATGGTTTTATGCAAAAAAAAGACTTTTTATAGTCATATAATGATGGTTTTACATATCACATATTGTACTACATCATCACAAGCTTCTTACATGTGGTGTACACTTGCACCAAAAAACAAAAAATATTGTGCATTTGCAAACCACATGTATTACCAAAACAAATCTATACAAAAAACTACTGCCCTATTCTCTTTAGTTGTTCAATTCTGAAATCTGGAGCACCTCTTCATACACTTCAGTACTGACTCCCAAGTTTTGTGGAAGTATTCCTTCCCTGGACAGCCTTTCCTTCCCCATGTGAGGTATCTTGAAATTATTTCCTCCTTTATGCCTCAACACCTCACCCATGACTCCTTGATAGGTTAAGAACACATTGTTTAAAACCTGTGGTGTGAGTTGTTCAAAAGCTAAGGTGACAGCAGTTATAAGATCCCCCAATGACCTGTGTGCACTCTTATTTTGTATAGCATCTATTGCCCTAAAGAAGCCAAGGTCAAGAACATTTAAATCTGGGCTATTGGGGGGCTGAAATTGCAACCTAATATCCCAATCACTCTCTTGTGCAGCAGCCACAAAAACTGGGTCATTAATATCAACATGTGGTTTGGCATTATCTTGTTGTATGACAACATACTTAGAACTCTGTGGCCATTTTTCCCTTATTGCTGGCAGTAGTTGCTGTACCAACATTTCTCTCATGACATCTCTTGTTATTTTTGGAATGGGCTTTGTTTCCATTATACCAGCAGGCCTGTTTTTGCTTCTTCTTTTTGCAGCTTCTTGAAATGTGAAGGGGAATATGCCTATTTTCCCATCCCACAGTACCTGACCATCATCCCCAAACCTAGGACGACCTACAGTAGCCAAAAACATAATTTTGGGAATATGTGTTTTGGACTGTATGGTTCGGTAGGGGTCTGCCTCATCAGGTAAGGTGTAGAAGGTCTTTTTAGGCTTGCTCAACTCAAACCACTTCTCATCAATATGTATATAATCATAACAATGATGGAATGTTGGGTTATTTGGTAGGGATGTGGGAGAAAGTAATGACAAACAATACCTCACCCTTTTTAACTTACCTTCATCACATATATGAGGTTTAATAGCATTGGGGTGTCTTCTGATTTTTTTCTTCTTCACCAACCTATATGCTGTACTAGTTGACACATTAAGGCAGTGGCTTAGGGCACGTAGCGTTTGCCGCTGGTGAAATGGAATGTCAGTCAGCTTTGAAATGTCCAAATTGAAACTTTTTTGCCCCGAGTTACCTTCCCACCTGCAATCCACATTCACTGCCTCGCCCCTAGCCATTTGAGATTTTGCAGCTTTCCATATCTCTCTGACCCAACGAGGAGATATGTTGAATTCATTAGCCACTGTTTTCAGTGACCCGTGCTGAAGTTTGCCGTTTTTGAAATTTTGTAGTATTGCCTCTATTATTCGCTGCCTTCTTTCGTTTCTTGCTTGCACACCGGAAATACATGTGATGTTGTTTATTTCAGGGGTGTTGAAAGCCTCGAAAGGTACTTCCAACAGTGGAGGCAAGGAGACATCCGCTACATCGGCTGAGTCGGCGTTGGCATCTCCAAAACGAGAGGAAGTTGGAAGAGGTGACGGTTCCATCAATGCTATTTGAGGCCAGACAGATTACATGGAGCATTTATTTTCATTCAAGACATGTTTAGGGAGAGATGAATTCATTTAATGCTTTGGTGTATTTATATTGAGAAGTGGTAGTATTAGGTTGAAATATTTGGAGGGCTTTTTAAATCTTTTCCCAAACAAAAAATTTGTAATCTTTCCCTCTTTTGTTGTGGTTGCTGTGTGAAGTGAAGAGTTTTGGTAAAGTCCACTATTCATGACAAGTTACTCATTATTAGCTTCATTATTTTATTCTCACATTTGCCCACTATTGTTAAGTACCCCACGTGAGTAAGGGGTAATATGGGAAGGTCTTTGCCAAAATATGGGTTCCTTATTTTGGCTAAAAGTCAAAAGGGGAACCCTTTTCTGAAACGGAGGGAGTAGATGATATGGTTGAAGTGAGTATAAAAAAGTGAGTTGCTAAAACACTTTTGGAAAGCAAAAAAGGCAAATAGAAGATAAAAAAATAGCTCTCCGATGCTCTTACGGAAGTTATTTCCCTAATCCCGCCTAACCCAAATAGCGGGCCTGTTTGGGAATAGCTTTAGAGATTATTGTTAGCGTTTTGGATAAAATTTTAACGGCGCAGATTACTTTGAAAACGCTAACGCTAAACGCTGGCCGTAGATAGCTTTTTCAAAACGCTAACGCTAATCTCTAACGCTTTTCCCAAACAGGCCCAGCGAAATATTGAGCAGTCTCTCTCAATCCATTCCTAATTTCGGTCTGCACGCTGTAACTTTGTTTCTATCGACCCCCAAAGCTATCTTCAAAAGAGAGAGACGACCTCCAGAAGCTCGTCGATTGTGATATATGGAGTATATTTCAATCACTACACACCAAAGCAATCGTCTATATTTTGAATCTGGACACGCTTATTTCTTCGATTCGGGAACGGCGACACTCCCAAAGTCTGGAGTTAGGTATTTATTCTTAAACATATTCAGGTTTTGTTTATGTTTTCAGAATCCTATAAATTCTTGCTGTTTAAGAAACTTGAATCCATATTATTATAGATGTTCACTAGTCATAGATGAATCTTAAGTTTAAATTTCAATTATTCAAGAATGTTTTTTGTTCTATAAGAGTGAATATCCTAGATGGATTTTGAGTTTTAAATGAGTATCTCTCCTTGTTCTTCCTCTAATTGTTTTTTCATATTCTTAGTCTTAGTGAATTTTGGTTTATAAATTCCTTAGTTTAAGAAATTTTATTTTGTTCTATAAGAGTGAATATCCTAGAGGTAATTTGATTTTTGAATCAGTATTCCTCCCTCTTGTTCTTCCTCTACATGTTTTTTCATAGTCATAATCTTAGTCCATGGTTAATTATGAATGATTCTAGATTTATTAACACTTGGCCTCATGATTCAACTTCCTTCAATTATGCTTATTCATGAATCTGAAACTGTTAGTTTAATACTATTACATCTGGAATAACCCTAAGTGTTGTCCTTAGTGATGTTGAATATTGGCTTAACTTGTATTGTTTCCTCTTGGCCATAGTTGTGAATGGCGAGCGCTTTTGGCGCTTATGGTGCTCTAAGCGTTGTGGTGACCAAAATCTGCCTGGAACTGCTCTGGCGTGGCATTTTACGGGAGGCGCACTATAGGCGGTCGCCATACACGCCATGGTTTATGGCGAGCACTATCCACGCCTTGTGACATGTGAAATAAATAATAAAAAAACTGACCTTGACCTAATTTTCGTTCGATACATCCGATCTAAATGGTGCAAAGATTGCAACTGCTCCAGAGTCATTGCGGCGTCGTAGAGTCTCCGATTCTTCTGGATTGATCTTCACAGCTTCACTCCATCGCAATTCGCAGGGTCGAGAGACTCCTTAGCCCAGCGCGAGTCGAAGTCAAACCAGGTGACACCCTCTTTTCTCTTTTGCTTAAGGCCCAACTACATACTTAGCCCAGCGCTAGTCGAATTACTTATCCTTAGCCTAGAGTGATGTATGTAGTCAAACCAGGTTTTGCATAGGATCCAGGGTTAAAGGTCCCCAATTGGCCTTAAGATGAGGCCTGAATCCTCTTACAACACTGTCCAAAATTTGATCCCATGTTAGTGATGGACTCTTTAGTGTCATAAGAGCTCCCGGTTTTTCGGACTTGTCAACATCCTCCAGGTTTTCTACTTGCTGGTTTTTGAACCTAGAATATCTCTGAACCTAGAATTATATCTTCCACAAAATCCTCCCAATTAAATCTATGTTTTGATCCTTGATCATCTCTGAATCTAGAACTCAGAGCAACCAAAAAATCCTCCAAATTGATGTTAGCTCTATCCATCGCATAACTATCAAACCATAATTTGGCTTTTCCAATCATATTCACAGAAGCTTAATGTACTTTTTTCTCGTGAGACTAGAGCAAAGCGAACCTGCCCGTAAGTGTTCTTGAGGTAAAAGGCTACGATCTTATTTCCCCTCTTGGTGTCCAGGAAGAGCACATCTAGACAAGAGTCCTCACAAATGCATAGGAAAACTTCCCCTCTTGGTGTCGAGGTACTGAACTATGGAGTTGTCCATAATGGAAACTTATGGTGTGATAGTCAGGCAATATACCCCAGTAGTAGGATCCTTGTGCCATTCATGAGTTTGTCTCTCAAAAAAATTTGGTCAATGAAACAAAAGTTTGCTGCTTGTTTCTTATGCAGGATTTAGGAGCCGTGTCAGATACATTGATGTTTTAGATCCATCAATCACGTGCTATTATGTTTCTGAGATTCTAGATGCAGGACGAGATGGGCCTTTGTTTATGGTAAATTAGTCTCTCATTTTAGACTGGAATGCTCAGTGCCAATGCAAGTTCACATTTTGTTCATTTCATATGTGTGTGTGTGTGTGAATTTCGGCAAGTTGAAATGCTTAAACATGCATCAGTGAGGCAGAAGGATTAATATACAAATTTCCACTAATTTTTTTGCAACATGGGTTATACTGCAACTCTTGTCACTTGTCAGGCATTCAAAAAATAGACTGCCCATACTCTTTTAGATTACATATTCCATGTATTTTAATTATTTTTATGAAGTTCAGCCTTTAAATTTTTGTATTTGTTCAATCTTCATTAAAAGCAAATGAAGGAATGAGATGGTTTAGCAAAAATCTGTGAACGTCATCTTACACTGAAAATCTCGTAAGTGCATTTTGATTTATGGCGTTTTCAGGTTTCATTGGAGCATTGCAAAAGTGAAGTATTTATCCATGTATTGGCTGTCAGATGTTGGGAATTTGTTAAGGAGAGAGTGAATCAAGAGATCAATAAGCAGCATAAGTTGGGAACTTGTTTGATGTTTTAGATGAATGAGTTGAATGAGAGAACCAAATCGGAAGGAAGGTACAATTGAATGCTTTTCACATTTGCTTCAGTTTTTCTGCTAGAAGCTCTCATTTTGATTGTGAATTCATTTGGAAAATTTGTTTTGATGGGTAGTTCCTACAAAGGACCAGGCACTTACATTCTACAATTGGATGTAAAAAAAACTATGGCAGACAAGTACACCCTACATATATATAACTGAGACATATGAGACATACAATCATACCTCTCTTCCCCATTATGTTTTATCTTCATACACAATTGATAGGATTCACAAGAGTAGCACACTATATATGGAACACCGCTTATAGTACTAATTAATGATAGCACTTTAATTTACATGTTTCATACATTCAAAGGCATATATAAAAACACTAAACAATTTCTTATTTAATTATTAGCCTCTAACATTTTCTTTTACTGATTAATTTCTTTTATTACTTTTGTTTTTTATTTGCAGATCAATGCTCAGTATCAGAAATACCATTCATTTTCCTCTTTGGTTAAGAATTACCTTTGTCTTAAAAACATGTTTAGTGTTGTGAACTTAGTAGTTTATTCATCATATACGGGGGTATTTATACATACACGGGGAGAGGTATAGTCTTGGTCAATAAGGAAACAATATATTCTAAATAGTATGAGAAATATATCTGCCATATTTAACACTCCCCCTCAGATATATCATCATGCATTATACACCAACAACATTATGCTACTGGATAATGTTGGCTAGGTTCTTCAGGACTTATATTAACTGATACTGCAGGATCAATTATGCTGCCTCATTAAAAACCTTACTAAGAAAACCCAATGGGACAAAACTTAGTTGAGGGAAAAAGAGTATAGCGTGTATAATATTTTCCCTCAAAATAAAATTATACTCCCCCTCAAACTAATTTATCTCTTTTAGCTTGTGAAGTCCAATCTTCTTTTTGAGTTGCTCAAAATTGTGTCTAGGTAGAGATTTGGTGAATAAGTCCGCCAAATTTTGCTTGATTTAACTTGAAGAACATTGATCTCTCCTTCTTTATGCAGATCAGATGTTGAGAAAAACTTTGCTGAGATTTGCTTCGTTCTGTCTCCCTTGATGTAGCCTTCCTTGATTTGAGCTATGCATGTTGCGTTATCTTTATATATAATCGTAGCATTCTTCTTGATTTCTTTCAAATTATATGCTCCTTGTATGAGATTCATCAGCAATCTCTACCACGCTTTCTCGATCACTGTCGTATAATGCTATCAGTTCGGCTTGATCACATGCTGTTGTTCGTGCTTGCTCAGTCGACTTCCAAGAAAAGTTGTATCACCATAGGTGAACACATTACCTGTCTAATTTCAGACTTAAATTTGGTACTTCAAGACCAAGTACTTCTTCGCCCTCTTCTGGGAGGCGATTAGAATGTTATGTATATATATATGAATGAACAACCTTGGGTATGTTCAAAAGACTAGCTTTATCCATATTTCAACGTGTTAACATCTTCTGGACGTAGTTTAACTTATGGACAAATGGGCTATCATATAGGTGTTTAAAATACAATCCTAGGTATAATTTATGTCAAGATCTTCCATCTCAAATTCTCTCTTCAAGAGTTCAACAGGTTTTTCTATCTGTTCAGGAGATCTAATGATATTTATACGTCGACGTAAACTGCTATAATAATGAAAATTGAGAGCGATCCTTGAATGACAACACATAGGTTGATTTCAAATTTGTTATCTTTCTTTTTCGAGATATTCACTAGGTCAATTGTACCACATATGACCAGATTACTTGAGACCATTCCACGATCTCTTCATGCATATCTCGATGTATTAATTTTATTGCTTCTGGCATTTTGAATCCTTCAGGGATTATTATCACACAGATGTCGATTTCAAGTGTCCCTTATAATTATGTTAACGACATCCATATCATTTATTTGAAGTCCTTTTGAGATTGCGAGGCCAATTAAAATTCTAAAAGGATATTGCATCCACTACTGGAGAATACATTTCCATATAATCAACTCCTAGGATTTGGGAAAAACCCTTGCCTTACAAGTAGTACTACATATCGCACAATCTCATTTATTTTATTTCTGTTTATTACAGACACCCATTTATAACCTATTGGTTTGACATCTATGGGTGTTCAGACTTCAGGTCCGAAAATATTTCATTTATCGAGTGACTTATATTCGACCTTCAGGGTCTTTTGCCATTTGGCAAATCATTTATGTACTATTTACATGTACTCTTATTTGAGTTTTAGGCATGTAATCTCTTTTATTGATTACATCCATTGTCATAGCATATGCGAGAATATCATTGACACGTGTTTCATTTTGGTTCCATATTGTACAGTCTCGTACATAATTAATAGAGATCTCATTTTCTTTCGGTACCGATGTTTGTTTAGGAAACTTATTCTTCTGGAATCATAGTAGTCTCTTCCAAGACATTTACCTCTTCTGGAGTTTCATTTTCTTCTGGAATAGTATTAGTCTTCTTCTGAGACAGTTACCTCTTCTGGGGAATCACTCATAATCATGTATGTGGTTTAACTAATAGCATTTTTGCTATCTTCATTTTCGTGGGTTCATGTCTTTGAAGCTGATTATTCTCCCACAATTTCTTTGTATAATAGTCACTTCTGAGACTTTCATAGATTAAGCGGTGCATAAGATGCTGGTATATGTAACTTTGTCACTCTACTCATATGTGTGAATGCATCTCATAATTCATTTGCTCTACATTGCAAATCGGACTTCAAAATCGCACTGACCACTTCAGGAGTAAAAAATTTACGATGATGATGCATTCCATGTAATTTTTTATATTACCAGTCTTTCTTTATTCACCTCCCCCTCTAAGACTGGGAATACTTTATCTCTTTATCATAAAATTGACAATCAATATACTGTGATGTATATATATATCTCTTGTCAAAAACTCTTAACATTTAACGATTGACGAGGAGTTAAAACTAATGTCAATTACCCAATCTTCTCTTATTATCTTGGATGCATTGTGGGGGAGGGGGCACATAGGACACACAATCAAATATTGTCAAAAGGGACAAATTTGGTTCTCTTCGGGAGATATAAAGAGTAAGAAACTCAAAATTTTGAAGATTTGACATTTTATTTAT